ACATTTGCATTTATTTTGATTTTTGTGTAGACATATGCTTTTTTGAAATATGCAAAAAGGAACCCTAAAGGGGGAAAAGACATGAGATAGGGCATTAGGGAATATCTATCTCATCATACCTGAAAATAGCATTCATAAAAACTATTTATAAGCTTGAACAAAAAATGACACTAGCAAGGAATAGATAACTCTATCTATGAACATAGAGAAAAAAGCAAAATCTATACCAGAAAATCCCACAAAGGTGAAGATTACTATTGGTAGAAGAGAATGAGGTAAGAGGAAAGAGGACTGTTGATGACTAGTAGAATTTTAGATTTTTAATTCATCAGTAATGGAAGTACTATGAACTGAAGGTAATACTTCTTATTAAGCTTACTGTTACATAAAAGTGTTTCCTTTAGTCCCAAGGGTATAGCTGTGGTGGAATAAAAAGCATGGACTCCAGCTGTTCTCCAAAGGAGCAGGGAGCTACAAAGGAGCACACTGGCCATCTACTTCGATTCTAAGTGGATAATACTAGCAGGCCAGTCACTTCAACTAGATAGCAACCTGCCCCTTCCACTTAAGCTCTATTCTGTTCCTGCCTCCAACAGCTCTTTCTCTGAGCTTTCTAGAATACTTGCCTTCTAAACAAGAGATCAAGGTCAAGACAAATCTCATAAGAAAAGCCCATGGCCTTGGCTGTTTTTCCTTTTGCCTGTAAAGCCTTCTCTGGGTAACTCAGGTCTCCCTGATAAAACTATGTGTATTTTCTAGTGGAGAGTGGGAGGTGAGGAGACCTCTTAGAAAGGAAGGACTGAAACAATGCTGACAGAACTCCCATGCCTGCCCAATAGTAGGCTAAGGGAATGGACTACAATCTATCAGGTTATAACTTTCTAGAGGGCAGGGTGGGTTTGAGACTTCTTCTCACAGCACTTAGCACTATGCCTTGAATATAAGAAATGCTCATTAGATTTCAACGATGATTTGTTGATATTAATGTTCTCTATAAAAATAGTTCCATTAGTCATCACTGAATTGTATTACTGGTTGTTTCTCTCTGAGCTTTTCAATAAAGCCTTCTGGCTCTATCTAGCATTAGGGTCAGCAAAGGCCCAGAAATAAGTCACACGTGACACAAAAATTCCAGTTTTATACTTTTTAAAATCTTCCATATATATCAGGAGCATTATGGGATTGGTAGGAATGATATCCCTCTGTTTATACATGCAAAGATAACATTTCAGCATTAAAAAAGAATCATGTTATAGTGTCAAATGGTATTTATTATGGCCCTAGCCAGTTTGGCTCAATGGATAGAACATCGTCCTGTAGACCAAAGCATCCTGGGTTGGATTCTGGTCAGGGTTTGTGCAGGAGGCAACCAATCAAAGTGTTTCTCACATCAATATTTCTCTCTGCCTATCCCTCTCTTGTCCATCTCCCTAAAAATCAATGAAAAATATCCTCAGGTAAGGATTAACAACAAAACAAACAAACAAATCAATAAATAAAGTGTTTATTATGCACTAGGCACTATGTTAAGTGCATGGTACAGACAGCTGCATGGCAGTCCCAGTCCTCAAGGTAGTCCCAGACCTCAAGGTAGTCCCAAGCCTCAAGGAGTATACAAACTCCTTGAGGAAAATAAAGTATAAAACCATATGGCCCGTAACAGTTATGAAAAGTTCACTATTCAGTCCCTCAGAGGAGTGAGGGAACTCCATGTCTGAGGGTGCGGGCAGACAGCTGTTTCTTTCTGTGAATTAGTTGTATGAGAAGAAACTGGCTTTCCTTTTCTCTTGAAAAGAACACAAATCTTTCGGTTGGGATTATATACTTTCCCCATTTCCCAAGACTTCTCTGAGCCATTGAATCTTACCACCAGAATGGGGCCTTAAAAGCCTGTCAGCCTTCCCACCTGACGAATAGCCATGTGTACACACATGGTTACAAATAGCAGAAAGCTCCAACCCTGTCGGTTTAATCGATGAAGAGAGACCTGGGTTCAGAAGCTGTTTGAGCAGAGGCTCAAAAACATAATCAGAGATCACATTGCTTTCTGCCTATGCTTTCCCCATGTCTGCTTTATTTTAACCTGGCTGGACCTTGTGGATGGGAGATGGCTGCCCCACAGTCTAGGGCTCTGGGACCGCCCCCATCCAACCCCCATGGAACATTCTAGTAACATGCCTTCCATTTTTGAGTTTTTTATGAAACCTTGATTTTTGAGTGCATGCAGGTTGCCTCTGAAGCTGTCTTGGAATATAAAACAAACAAATAAAACCTTTCCCAGAAGTCCCCAGCAAATTGTTCTTCTCAGTGGCCCAAACTGTATTATGCCCATTGCTGACCAATAACTGTAGCAGGGAATGTGAACGTGCTGGTTTACTTTAGTTGGATTTATGCTAACTTGCTTGTACTGGAACCCTATACTGCAGTACCCAGCCAGGGCAGGGATGTGACTCTAAGGAAGAGGAGGACAGGGGGAGAGAAAGAGGTCGGGTGTTTACCTAGGTAAGGAGGAGTGGATATAAGGGAGGCTACTACTGGATCTGGCACGAGGTCCAGGGTGCAGCCATTGACGTCATGGAAATCCCTGCCCCAAGCTACAATTGCCTTCTCCCGCTGGACAGCTCCGGTGGTTGTAATCAAGTAACTGGTTACCGCATATTTGCAGGGAATCTCCCTCCTTGCTTCCCTGACCCGGTGGTTAGTTACCCTCAAGGTATTGGCTGCTTCCTTCCATTGGCTACTTTGGAAATTGTCTCCTTTCTTGAGTGTTTCTCTTCCCTGCACTCACTGCCCCCAGAGAGTGAGCACACGGGCTGCCGTTAGAGAAACCCTTCCTTCCATCTCCAAAGCGAAAGGAATTGAGGTTTTTTTAGTTTTATTTTGTCTTCTATTCCGTTTGGGAGGATTCTTTAGGCCAATTCAGAGAACTTGCGCCCAGAGAGTGCCTGTGGGACAGTCTCTCCCTGGGTCACATGCAGGGACTGGCTCGGTCCATTTCCCAGAGCTGGTCCGGCGGTGCCGTGTGGTGGTGGCCCCGGCTGGGGATGGGGTTCGGGTGGGACGCGATGCCTGCAGGCGGGGGGGGGGGGGGGGATGGGGGGGAGAGGGGGCTCGGGTGAGTGGAGAATGTGGGGACCTGCCGCCCGCGCAGCTTTTGCGCGGTTTGAGGGAGGCTTCGCCCCTTCTGTCTTCCGCTCAGCAGCACCCCGGACCCACCGCACCCACTCCTCGTGCGGACCGAGCGGCCGGGGTCCCAGCCCCGCGCACGCATCATCTCCCGGGGCTGGCACTCCGGGCTCCCGCTGCGCTCACCGCCGCTCGCTCCGGGACCGCGGCCTCGGGCTCCGCGTCCTCGGGCTGGTGGTCGGGGCAGCGCATCCAGATGGGCCCGCAGGGGCGTCCCCGCGGCTCCGAGGTGGGAGCGGGACCCGCTGGAGCCCGCCGTCCCGCTCGCTCCCGGGGTACCTGCGCGCGGCCCCCGCCCCTCCCCGCCCCGCCCCGCCGGCCCGGCCCCGGCCCGCCTCGCCCCGCCGCGGGCTTTGTCCACCGGCCGCGGCCGCCCCTCCCCGCTCCGCCGGCTCCTCCCCGCCCCTCCGCGCCAGCCCCACTTCCTCGGAGCGCGGCGGCGGCGGCGGCGGCGGCGCGGGCCGGGGACGAAGGGGTTAAGCCGGGCTCTTCCCGGCGCGGAGGGATCCGGAGCCCCGCCGAGCGCAGTGCTGAGGCCGCTGCAAGCGAAAAAAATGTCCGCCTGAGGAGACCCACAAGTTCTATTCGGGGGGACCGCCAGCCCGCCCCGGGAGCAAGGGGCGGCCAGGCCCGAGAGCCGCCTCCCGCGCCCGGACCCGGAGAGCTCTGCGCGGGCCGAGGGAGCCGAGCCGCCCGCGCGGCGCCGGGGAAGCGGGAGCCGCGCTGCCGGCCGGAGTGAACTTTAATCGGGGAGGTTGGTTGGATGCGGAGACGGGGCGGCAGGTAACTGAGGGCGGGCGAGCGGGAGCGGGTGGGGGACGGGGGCGCCGTGGCGGGGCGGCCGGGCGGCCGGGCGTCCCTGCCGGGGGGAGCGGAGGCGCCCCCGGCCGGCGCCCCAACTCCGTGCCCCCCTTTGTACCGCGCGGACCCGGGGTCCCCCTCCAAGTTGGGGAGCGGAGCGGAGGCGGAGGCGGGAGCGGGGCGGCCAGGCCCGCGGGCGGCGCGCGCTCGGCCTGGGCGCGGGGCCCCGCTCGGCTCGGGGACTCGGGCTCGGGGCGCCGGGGCCGCGGGCCGCTCCGGCCGCCCCGCGCGGCGCATTGTTCGGCGGCGGGGCCGGCGGCGGCGGGCCGGGCGGCCAAAGTGGGAGGAGGCCGAGCCGCGGGAGGAGGACGCCGCCGGGCGAGCGCCCGACGAGTTGTCGGCGTTTCTGGTTTCTGTTCTTTACAAACGCCCCTCGGACGCTCGCAAGCGGGGTGCCGGGGCGACCTCCCCCGGCTCCCGGGGCCGGCCGGGGAGGTCCGGGCGGCGGCGGCGGCGGCCGGGGACGCGGGCCTGCGGGCGGCGCGCTCCCTGCAACTTGTCAGCCCCATTGTTGCCGGCCCGGGCGGCGCTGGGCATCTCCCCGCCGCCGCCGCCGCCGCCGCCGCTCGGCTGCGGCTCCCGGACGCCCTGCGCCCGCCCCGCGAGACCCCCCGCCCGGGCCGGCCCCGCGCGCACGGCTCCCGGCGGCGGCGGCGCGGGGCGGGGGGCGCCGCGGAGGGAGGAGGGAACCGGCCCGGAAACTTGCGGGAGCGGCGGCGAGTTGCTGGGGCCCGCTGCGTGGCCGGGGAACGCGTGGAGGCACGGACCGGAGGGCGCGGGCTCCTGGCTCTCCCGGCCCCCCCTCCTTCCTACCCCGCACCGCCCGCGGGGACCGGGGACCGAGGGGGGTGTCTGGGGGAGTCCGGCCGGAGCCCCGCTCCATCCCCTCGGGGGTCGCCCGCTGAGCCCGCTTCCACCTCCTCCGCCGCAGGACCCGCTAGAAGTGGCCCAGGATGAATCCGCAGCAGCAGCGCATGGCCGCGATAGGGACCGACAAGGAGCTGAGCGACCTGCTGGACTTCAGTGCGGTAGGAGAGCTTCCCGCGGCATCTCGGGGTTCTGCTGAGGTTGACTTAAAAAAGAAAGAAAAAGAGAGAAAGAAAGGAGGTGGGGGGAAGGGGGGGAGCGACGTGGAGACTTCCCTAGGCGGCGTGAACTCCCTTTGCTTTGAGCAGAGTTCTCAGGGCTGGAGTCCAGCTCCCCCAAGTTGGACACCTGAACTTTGATGTAATGTCTAGACTTGCAGATTTGAAACTTTATTGCCAAAAGGGGTCATTTGTTTTAACCGGTTGAAAGGAAAACAGTGTAATCGGGAGCTTTGGTTGGAGTCACCCTCTGACCCTGGTGATGATGAGGGATTTTGAATTTCATAGGGAAGAAGGAAATTATTTTTTTCTTCAACCAACTCATAACCGTTTCTCTCTCCCCAAGGTGTGGTATGTGAAAGATGTCTTTTTCAAGAGGGGCCAGCCTTTTGAGCTGAGTTATCTTTGTAATACACATATGTGTGTATGTATATGTGTTTAACATTTTTTTATACGGGTAGGAATTGAGTGTCTCCAAAGTATCTGTTGAAACCTAAGGGCCCTCTGCCCTTACTTTCAATGGTTGAATTCCTTTATTAACTGTTGTTAGGAGTCAGGACCAATCCCTACTTTATAAAACTTAATATAGTGGATCCTTCGTGTATGTGGTAGTTTCATTTAATTTGATTCTGACTGCGCGTATTAAATTGTAATGTAAATGTAATGAGATTTAATTAGTTACAATCATGGACAAAAGTTTACTATTTAAACTTAATCTTAGAAGCTCTCATTTAAGTAACTGGTTTTGCAGGACAGAATATAACCAAGTAGTGTTAGCAAATAGAATCATAGTATATTTGCCTTTCTGGGTTGAATGTACATTTCAAATTTTAACATCCTTCTGAAATATAGTAACTAACTGATGACTCTTGGTTTGCAAAGAGTCTAGAAGAATTTCAGGACTAATCGGTACTTTTGGGTTATTTTGCAGATGTTTTCCCCACCTGTTAATAGTGGGAAAACCAGACCAACAACACTGGGAAGCAGTCAGTTCAGTGGATCAGGTAAGATGATGTCTAAAATCAGAACCTCATATTTTGATGTTGTGATACAGTTTAGTAGAAAAACATATAAAGTATTTTAATATCTTTCTTCATTGTATTCTTTAGTGTCTTGTTAAAATTATAAATAAAAACAGGAAAAATTATAAAATTATAAATAAAAACAACCAAGCCCAAAATGTGGGCTGTTGCTGTAAGAATCTGTTGACATTTCACTAAGAATTTCAATATGGATTAAGAATTACTCTCTTTTTCTATGAATTTTTAAATTGAAAATTGTCTTATTGAGTATAAGGGATTATATCAGGCCTCTATATTTAGAAAAGTACCAGAAGAAAATGCACTATGGCCATATGTGATCTTTTAAAAACTGTTTATTTAAATATATCTTTTTAAATTTTGCTAAATTTTTAGTCCATAGCATTATGTAACCCAGGTTTCTGAAGAATTGGTAAAATATTATTTAATATATGCTCATGAAAAGTAGAATTGAGCCAAGCAACAATTAGTAAGATGCTTTTTTAAAAGACGGCCATTTTCTTCGTAGTTTGCAGCAAATTAACAATTTTGTGGATGGTTATTTAAAATGTTAATGGAATAAAAGTTACAAATAAATGAAAAGGAGTTAGATTTATTTTGAAATGACACCTATTAGGTGACTGAATTCTGTCATACATTCAGATTACATGATGTCCTCTTTAAATTTATCTTCTTATATTTATAACTACTCTGCTCCATTAACATTTATCCCATATTTCTTAAGTATACATAGTTTTGTTTTTCTACCTTACTTAAATTCATGATTAAAAAAAGATGTTCTAAAAGCTAGGTCCGTTCTAATGTACAAAAGCTATAATTTTCTGTTTAATTTAAATTTATTCATTAGTGCTCAGAGATAGACGAAAACAAGAACAAAAACCAAGAAATACCTAAAGCCATGACAGTACCACCTTAAAAAAACCAGCTGTCAAATCTCTGGGCTGAAACACTGTTATTCCTCTTTGATTGGTACTTTTATTTCCTCTGGTAAAGTGATAGCAATTTCTTAAGATACTGTGAGAGCAAAACATTAGAAAGAAAGATTAAATTAGTAATCATTTTACTACTTTATTACACTTTACATTTAAAAGCATTTCTATTTAAGAGATATATAGTAACTTAATTTACTAAAATTCATTTTTAATGATGAAATCTTAGCTTATGAGAAAAATAATATGTCGTTTAATATTTTAAATTAAGTATAATAAAAGCACTTTGGATTGTAAATATCCTAAGGCTAACACTATCCTTAATAAAAAGGGTACCATAACATGTCAGACAAATGCCAGCTCTTCTCCCACCTTTTTCCTTTTACTGGCAATCATTTGAAGATTGTCACTTTTTGGGGAGAGGGGAGAACATTATTAGTTAATGTAGAAGAAGGCTATATTTCCTTTCTTCATTACTGTTTTGAGTATGTCTCAATTTTTGCAACTAATAATTCATTCTCAAGAACTTTCAAATTTACTTTGCCTAATATGTAGTACATGCTTAGTATATTTCATTAATGAATAGTGATACATTGCTGTTTCAGGCTGTTAGTTCCAGCTTACATTGTGGAAACTATATTTAACTGACACTCATTGATATCAATAACATGGACTTTAGAAACTTGCTATTAGAAATATTTTCTGTTTTTAGAATAAGGACAGTTTTTTTACTTCATAAAATTAAGAAGTTGTGATTTTTACAGTCTGTGAAATTAAAGAGTAGGTGAATTTGTTGTGTATTACAAACATGGTGTTGGAGAAGTTGTAGGTCTTTGCTTGCATTATATGAATTTTTTTTTACATTGTACAAGTGGTTGTAGTATTTGATGTTTTTGGAGTAGGAATTTCTTAGTTTTAAAATTGCTAGACTTGTTATTTATCCATTGAAAGTTTGAATTTAAGCACTTGTATTTAGTGGACATAGTAATTTTTATCTGTGGTTTGTTTTAAATCTAGAAAAGAATTTTTAAAAGCTATAACCTTTAATAATTAGTTTTGGGGAAGGGAAAATGTCATGTGATTATTTTATATCATAGTACATATTCTGGTAGCTATGGTTTTCCTGTAGCCATTTCTTATCTTAAAGACAATGTCTAAAAGAAATTGGTATAGCAGTATTATTTATATATTTTACTAATATTTATTTTATCTGTCTTGATATCGAAGGATATGCAATACGTCCTAATGCTTGTTTGTTTGCAGCTTACAAGGATCTAAAGATCTGACTTTCCTTCTGAAGAGCTGACTTAAAGATTAGCGTTTTCTTATCTTTGGAGTAATTTGTAAAACCCTAGCCTTTTGCCTCATGGAGACTATAATTGTGCAGTATAATTCCTTTCTCGATTATTTGTCCTTTTTAGGATGATTTAATTTCACAGTGAGATTTTCTTGAGAAATAATATATAACACCTTTGGAATTTTTTGAAATGGAAAACATACATGGCTAGAGTACATAATGTTATTTTAAAAATTTTATTTCTAAAGCAAAACAACTAACTTATGATAGCTGATACTTCATAAAAAATCACTTTGGAAAAGATGAATGAATGTGTATTATTTACTATTATTTGTTTTGAGGAGTCTGCTAAAATGTCATTTTCTCAGTAAGGTATTAATTTCTTTGCCTGATAAGACTGAATTTATCTGCATGGTATGACAGAGTCTGGGAGGTGCTCTCAACAGTGATCTTGAGAGAGGCATTTCTATAGGCGTTAAAGGTGAGGCACTGTGTTAGGGCACTGTATAAAAGGAAAGCTTGTTGAAAGGATTTAACAAAATTGAAATAGTTAAGGTGTTATGAAATCCACTGTCCCCGCAACTTTAGGGTTTGAGTATGTGGAGCTAAGTTCTGATCCTGGGTTTAATTTTTAGTATAATGTTTATGTGCTATATGAAAAATCTGTTAGTTTTTGAATCCAAGTAATAAGAGATATTGCAAGGGCTCGGGATATATATTCAGTATGTGAGCCATATCGAGTCTCTCTGTCTGATATTTCTATCTAGAAAGTTGTTTTAACTAGCAAGTAAAGCTTTACTTTTCCTTGTTCAAATCCAACTTTGATAATAGTTCCTGCCCAAGATTTTTGGAAATAATTGTAAAAACTATTTCTAGCTCTTAAATTTTATAAGGTATTTAGTTTTTCTTTCTCAATTACTGATTAATTTCTGGAGGGAGAAATTTTTCATATGTACACTTAGGCTTTTTGAGAATGTTGCTGTAGCGCCAGAAAACTAAATTCTTATTAAATTGATCTTTAGCAAATTTTTTTTAATTGAATTAATTTTTTTGTAGTTTCACATGCAGTTGTAAGGAACAATACAGAGATCCATGTAGTACACTTACCACATTTTCTGCAGTGCTAACAACTTGAAACACTAGTACAATATTACACCCAGGTTATTGATAGTGATATAGTCAAGATACAAGAACAGTTTTATCACCACAAAGATTCCTAGTGTTTCCCTTTATAACTGCATCTACTTGTAAAGTAATTAAAAAAAAAATCTATGGTAAGATTATTAAATACCTACTCACCGTGTTAAACATGGAGTTAGCTTTTCAAATTGCCTGTACCATAATTTGAAAATATTTAAAAAAATCAAAAAAGCAAACTAAAATTTACCAATGCAACTGAACTGTAATGTAAGTAGAATGGTACGTTGTATCAGGTAGAAACTAGGTTTAGCCTTTATATGTAAAGTATTTTAAGGTTATGAGTACAGTATGGTTCATGTTTTGTACCTAACGGTGTTGAAATTTATAGTAACTATCATGTGTCATAATATACACGTGTTCAAATTTAGTGCTTTTATTTGGGTAACCAAACCATGTTAAACATTTGTTTCCTTCAAGTTGTAGTGTGAATGAAGTAACTTTAGAGTCAGCAAGCATGGGAAGGAAAATACAGTATTTTAGGATTAATATTGTCTGCTATTAAGTGGCTCATTTAAGGTAAAATTTAAGTAGCAAAAGTCTTCAGAGAAAAACTGTTTATGAAAACACAAACTTGAAAAACCGAAAAATTAGAGACAAGTTTATAACCATAGGTATTGTGTGCTTTTTAGAATAGTTTCTGTAGTATTCCTTCAATAGTCATTGGTTTATAATGTATTTGAAAAATAATTTGATTGAGTCACAATTTTTAGAGACTTGTTTATTATATCAATGTGGTATGCCTATAATTAATTATTTAAATACAAGTTTAACTTTCTTTTAGGCTACTATATCGTTTTCTTTGAGTTTTTAAGTAATTCTCTTGGAACAGGAAGATAAAGATGAAGATACTAAACCTTAAATGTAAATGCAGTTGTTTTCACACTTTAGATTTAATGGGGTTAATTTAGAATAATCTCTTATTAAAGCCTGCTAGTCTTTCTGTTCTTGAACAATTGGTAATCATGCCTGGAATATCACTGCCTATTTAATGTTGTCAGACTTGGATAACTCTTGCCTTAAGAGAGTCAAGTAATTGTATTAGAAAGTGTCTTCTGAAAAAAAAAAAAAAAAAAAGGAAAAAGAAAAAGATCATTTCTGGACAGTGTGTTGGACACCTTTAAAAAAAACTTAATAGGACTGCTTTGGATACCACTTGAATACATTTTTTGGATGGTAATGTTGAGATTACAAATCTAATGCTTTTGCATTTAGGGTATAAAATGAGAAAATAAATATTTAAATATGTTAGTTCAAAAGACTAATGATTTGTATAGGAAGTAGGAAGGAGAAAAGGATTGATAGAATTGAAGGATTGGATTTATGTAGGTAAGAGAAATGAACCACGGTTGCAGTTCTGGCATGATTAGAGAGGATAGTAGTGCTGGAAGAGAGTAAAGATGTTGAATTGATTTGAGCATTTTAAAATTCACATGACCTGGGACTTTTCTGGCTAATTTAGGGATTTATGACAGAAGTATGCAAGGAGATGAGTAAAATAGAAATGTTGGTTAAAAAACAACAACGACGGTTCTTTTCTG